TTTAATAAAAACAATAATTGTTGAGATAATTAATTTTGATAGCATACTATTCAGAGGGAAATTAAAATTTCAAGTTAGCAAAAAATTGTATTAACAAACACTGTTCCTGAAGTAATTCTAAACAAATTTTGTTAACAAAATTTTTTGATTTGATCAATAATTATGAACATAATCTCAAAAAAAATTTTATATATATATTTTTATATATTTTTTTATTGAGAAAATCGTTTTAGAATTTAATTTAGAACAACTATTGTATGAAATTTTCTGCCGAGAACGAGTGGAGGGGCGAAATCGTATCGTTTTGTTACAAAAGTTCCGTGCCCTAGTAATAAAATATGTCAAAAGCGACATTTTTGCCTTGAAACTATGTCAGATAATAGTAGATGAGAGTAACCAAAAATATTAGATACATTATACAGCGTGTTTATAAAGCTTAGTTATTTTTGATGTTTTTCAAATGGCTTTTTCTTAAGTTTTAGTTTTTTTAAAGAAAATGAAAAACATTCTGTCTTTTATTGAGAACAATAAATCCTGTTTTTAATTAGTAAAGGAAATGCAGCAACAAACTATAAACAATTACTAATCGTTGCTCAACAAGTAGGTATTCAATTAATTAGTATTTAGAAGTTGTTCAAAATGCCACCCATTTATCTCTTAAGGTATCTCTTAACATGTGAAAATTATTTTACTTTATAAAATATTAATCAAATAATAAAAGGAAAAAACTGATAAAAATAGAATATAATATTAAGTACAATAATGACATATTTTATGACACATTTTTCTTTAAATTCTAAATATCAAGAAAATTACTAAAGTAAGACATATGACATACACATCACACATTATACAGGGTGTTCCATTTAAAAAACTTAAGAAAAAGCCGTTTGAAAAACATATAAAGTAACTAAGCTTTATAAACACGCTGTATATGTGTATCTTTGGATACTAACTGGCTTTAACTATTATCTAACATAGTTTTAAGGCAAAATTTGGAATTCATTTTGGAAAAATAATTGAATATCTCAGGAACTATGAACGCTATGAGTTAATAACAACCGTATATGTTGTATAAACAAATTTAATTGTATTCATAATATGATAAAATATACAAGGTGTTTCATTAAAAAAAATTAAATAGTCTCTGTTACGCCTAAATGGAACAACCTGTATAAGTGAAAATAAATTTACGTAATAGAACATGGTGAGTCAAACAACTTTTGTATAAAAAATTTTTTCCTTTCTCAATCAGTTTAGTAACTACCGTCCGCCGGGATACTAATAACTCATCCTGTATACAGGGTGGTTCAGTTTTTAAGCAGGAAACTTTACTAGGTTGTAGTACTTGCCAAAATAACATAGGGTCGCAACTCTTTTATTTTCGAGCTATGAGCGATCAAAGTTGAGCCAAAAATTTACATTTTATTTTTTATTTCGGCTATAAGAATTTACTAACTCCTACATCAACAATTCAAAATATAATTTTAATGTATTGCGAAAAGGCATTTGACAAGTTCAGCTAAAGTTTCAGTTTTTTATATAAATATAGGATCGTTTATATAAAAAACTTATGTTATTTAGGTTTATTTTTTTTTCTTATCTTCTAGTAAAGGTTCCCGAATAAAAACTGAATCACTCTGTATATAATAATACCGAAAAAGAATAATTTATATTGATTATTATATATAATTTTAGAAAGTTTTTTAAAATCGTATCGCAATAAATCAGCACAAATATTAAACGGTGTTAAATTAAAATCCGAAAATGAATTAAAATGTTCTACGGATACTTCTCAAGTAAATAGTCTATTTAATTTAGGAAAATATCAAATTTACGATGACGAACATCCGTCTTTATCGCTAATAAAGGTGATGGTACAATTTCGTATTAACAAAAAAAAATTAAATGATTTTTCTTAGATGCCAAATTCATTGTCTGGTAAAGGTTTCGACGAAAACGATAAAAAAGTTGATTATAATTTATCGCATATGAATGAAGGGCAAATAGGAACGATAAAACTCCGACAATCCGGGAAAGTTGAGGTAAATATTGGAAATATGGTTTACTTGATGGAATCGATCGGAGAAAATAGCTTCAAAGAGGTAATTTGAAATTATAATAAAACTTTTCGTTATCATAATAATTTTTAGGAGCTTGTTTATGTTCCTGAAAATTTAAAATTATCTTTTGGTCAAGATGTTTCAACGTTAGGCAATATTAATGATAAGTACATGTTATTACCTTCTTGGAAAAATTTATTCGAACAGAAATCTACACAAAAAATAGTTACAGGGAAAAATGTTATCAAAAAGGAACTGTTATAATTTGTTTGGAGAATCATTGAGTATTTAGTTAAATTGAATATAATGGATTGTGTAGAGAAGAATGTTATCCTATTATAAGCTTCTGTTTATTTATTATTATAAATTTCTACTTGATAATAGTGTAGGATATAAATAAATATTTTTTTAAATAATTTTTTATTATTATTAAAAAATGATTTTTATTGTATTATATACTCTTCTCTTCAAATTGAATCTTTACCTCCATACTTCTCTGGACCCTTTACATCAAAAATTAATTAAGGGGGAATAACTTTTTTGACCTTGACCTTATTTTCAAGGTTATATGAAGGTCACAGCCAATTTTTTAAATGACACCCTATATATTTTATTGTAAAATCTGAATACGTCAAAAACTCCCAGAGTATAAAGTTTAAGGAAGAACAATATGGTTTTAGACAAAACAGATCTTCAGAAAAAGCCAAAGAATTCAATAAATCTTTTCCATGTCTTTGGTGGACCTGAAGAATCTTACCTAACTTCGTCGACGCTTTAAATTATTTTATCCATAATCAGATTGAATAGGAATGGCATTGAATCCCTGCTGTTATAGGTACTTCCTGGGTTAGATTCCCTTTTGTCTTTATGCGTGTTTTATTGTTCGTATTTAGCTGTTCAATCACCTTAATGTAGTTGTAGTTAGTCCCGTGTTCTTGCAGAATCCGCGTAATGTTCTTCAACCAGATTCTATCGAAGGCCTCCTTCAGGTCCACCAAGGACATGGAAAAGGTTTATTGAATGTTTTTGTTTTGTCTAAAATCGTATTGTTCTTCCTAATCTTTATACGATTACCTCAATAAAATTTTTTTTGAGATTATGTTCTTAATTATTGCTCAAATCAAAAATTTTTATTAACAATATTTGTTTAGAATTACTTCAGGAACAGTGTTTGTTAATACAATTTTTTGCTAACTTGAAATTTTAATTTCCCTCTGAATAGTATGCTATCAAAATTAATTATCTCAACGATTATTGTTTTTATTAAAAAATGTTTTAAATAAAATTTGTTTCAATTTCGATTTTGAATCAATTATCTTAATAAAAAATTTTTACATCTCTATTAATTAAGCATCTAAGTATAATTATGTATAAAAACGGAAAAATTATTATTTTGAGGTTATCTCCTTAATTATTGATTAAATCAAAAAAAATTGTTGACAAAGTTTGTTTAGAATTGTTTCAGGAACAATTTTTGTTAACACAATTTTTTTCTAACTTGAAATTTTAATTTCCCACTGAACAGTATGCTACAAAAATTAATATTTTTGAGGTTATATCCTTATTGTTGATTTAATCAAAAAATGTTGTTAACAAAATTTGTTTAGAATTACTTCAGGAACAGTGTTTGTTAATACAATTTTTTGCTAACTTGAAATTTTAATTTCCCTCTGAATAGTATGCTATCAAAATTAATTATCTCAATAATTATTGTTTTTATCAAAAAATGTTTTAAATAAAATTTGTTTCAATTTCGATTTTGAATCAATTATCTTAATAAAAAATTTTTACATCTCTATTAATTAAGCATCTAAGTATAATTATGTATAAAAACGGAAAAATTATTATTTTGAGGTTATCTCCTTAATTATTGATTAAATCAAAAAAAATTGTTGACAAAGTTTGTTTAGAATTGTTTCAGGAACAATTTTTGTTAACACAATTTTTTTCTAACTTGAAATTTTAATTTCCCACTGAACAGTATGCTACAAAAATTAATATTTTTGAGGTTATATCCTTATTGTTGATTTAATCAAAAAATGTTGTTAACAAAATTTGTTTAGAATTACTTCAGGAACAGTGTTTGTTAATACAATTTTTTGCTAACTTGAAATTTTAATTTCCCTCTGAATAGTATGCTATCAAAATTAATTATCTCAATAATTATTGTTTTTATCAAAAAATGTTTTAAATAAAATTTGTTTCAATTTCGATTTTGAATCAATTATCTTAATAAAAAATTTTTACATCTCTATTAATTAAGCATCTAAGTATAATTATGTATAAAAACGGAAAAATTATTATTTTGAGGTTATCTCCTTAATTATTGATTAAATCAAAAAAAATTGTTGACAAAGTTTGTTTAGAATTGTTTCAGGAACAATTTTTGTTAACACAATTTTTTTCTAACTTGAAATTTTAATTTCCCACTGAACAGTATGCTACAAAAATTAATATTTTTGAGGTTATATCCTTATTGTTGATTTAATCAAAAAATGTTGTTAACAAAATTTGTTTAGAATTACTTCAGGAACAGTGTTTGTTAATACAATTTTTTGCTAACTTGAAATTTTAATTTCCCTCTGAATAGTATGCTATCAAAATTAATTATCTCAATAATTATTGTTTTTATCAAAAAATGTTTTAAATAAAATTTGTTTCAATTTCGATTTTGAATCAATTATCTTAATAAAAAATTTTTACATCTCTATTAATTAAGCATCTAAGTATAATTATGTATAAAAACGGAAAAATTATTATTTTGAGGTTATCTCCTTAATTATTGATTAAATCAAAAAAAATTGTTGACAAAGTTTGTTTAGAATTGTTTCAGGAACAATTTTTGTTAACACAATTTTTTTCTAACTTGAAATTTTAATTTCCCACTGAACAGTATGCTACAAAAATTAATATTTTTGAGGTTATATCCTTATTGTTGATTTAATCAAAAAATGTTGTTAACAAAATTTGTTTAGAATTACTTCAGGAACAGTGTTTGTTAATACAATTTTTTGCTAACTTGAAATTTTAATTTCCCTCTGAATAGTATGCTATCAAAATTAATTATCTCAATAATTATTGTTTTTATCAAAAAATGTTTTAAATAAAATTTGTTTCAATTTCGATTTTGAATCAATTATCTTAATAAAAAATTTTTACATCTCTATTAATTAAGCATCTAAGTATAATTATGTATAAAAACGGAAAAATTATTATTTTGAGGTTATCTCCTTAATTATTGATTAAATCAAAAAAAATTGTTGACAAAGTTTGTTTAGAATTGTTTCAGGAACAATTTTTGTTAACACAATTTTTTTCTAACTTGAAATTTTAATTTCCCACTGAACAGTATGCTACAAAAATTAATATTTTTGAGGTTATATCCTTATTGTTGATTTAATCAAAAAATGTTGTTAACAAAATTTGTTTAGAATTACTTCAGGAACAGTGTTTGTTAATACAATTTTTTGCTAACTTGAAATTTTAATTTCCCTCTGAATAGTATGCTATCAAAATTAATTATCTCAATAATTATTGTTTTTATCAAAAAATGTTTTAAATAAAATTTGTTTCAATTTCGATTTTGAATCAATTATCTTAATAAAAAATTTTTACATCTCTATTAATTAAGCATCTAAGTATAATTATGTATAAAAACGGAAAAATTATTATTTTGAGGTTATCTCCTTAATTATTGATTAAATCAAAAAAAATTGTTGACAAAGTTTGTTTAGAATTGTTTCAGGAACAATTTTTGTTAACACAATTTTTTTCTAACTTGAAATTTTAATTTCCCACTGAACAGTATGCTACAAAAATTAATATTTTTGAGGTTATATCCTTATTGTTGATTTAATCAAAAAATGTTGTTAACAAAATTTGTTTAGAATTACTTCAGGAACAGTGTTTGTTAATACAATTTTTTGCTAACTTGAAATTTTAATTTCCCTCTGAATAGTATGCTATCAAAATTAATTATCTCAATAATTATTGTTTTTATCAAAAAATGTTTTAAATAAAATTTGTTTCAATTTCGATTTTGAATCAATTATCTTAATAAAAAATTTTTACATCTCTATTAATTAAGCATCTAAGTATAATTATGTATAAAAACGGAAAAATTATTATTTTGAGGTTATCTCCTTAATTATTGATTAAATCAAAAAAAATTGTTGACAAAGTTTGTTTAGAATTGTTTCAGGAACAATTTTTGTTAACACAATTTTTTTCTAACTTGAAATTTTAATTTCCCACTGAACAGTATGCTACAAAAATTAATATTTTTGAGGTTATATCCTTATTGTTGATTTAATCAAAAAATGTTGTTAACAAAATTTGTTTAGAATTACTTCAGGAACAGTGTTTGTTAATACAATTTTTTGCTAACTTGAAATTTTAATTTCCCTCTGAATAGTATGCTATCAAAATTAATTATCTCAATAATTATTGTTTTTATCAAAAAATGTTTTAAATAAAATTTGTTTCAATTTCGATTTTGAATCAATTATCTTAATAAAAAATTTTTACATCTCTATTAATTAAGCATCTAAGTATAATTATGTATAAAAACGGAAAAATTATTATTTTGAGGTTATCTCCTTAATTATTGATTAAATCAAAAAAAATTGTTGACAAAGTTTGTTTAGAATTGTTTCAGGAACAATTTTTGTTAACACAATTTTTTTCTAACTTGAAATTTTAATTTCCCACTGAACAGTATGCTACAAAAATTAATATTTTTGAGGTTATATCCTTATTGTTGATTTAATCAAAAAATGTTGTTAACAAAATTTGTTTAGAATTACTTCAGGAACAGTGTTTGTTAATACAATTTTTTGCTAACTTGAAATTTTAATTTCCCTCTGAATAGTATGCTATCAAAATTAATTATCTCAATAATTATTGTTTTTATCAAAAAATGTTTTAAATAAAATTTGTTTCAATTTCGATTTTGAATCAATTATCTTAATAAAAAATTTTTACATCTCTATTAATTAAGCATCTAAGTATAATTATGTATAAAAACGGAAAAATTATTATTTTGAGGTTATCTCCTTAATTATTGATTAAATCAAAAAAAATTGTTGACAAAGTTTGTTTAGAATTGTTTCAGGAACAATTTTTGTTAACACAATTTTTTTCTAACTTGAAATTTTAATTTCCCACTGAACAGTATGCTACAAAAATTAATATTTTTGAGGTTATATCCTTATTGTTGATTTAATCAAAAAATGTTGTTAACAAAATTTGTTTAGAATTACTTCAGGAACAGTGTTTGTTAATACAATTTTTTGCTAACTTGAAATTTTAATTTCCCTCTGAATAGTATGCTATCAAAATTAATTATCTCAATAATTATTGTTTTTATCAAAAAATGTTTTAAATAAAATTTGTTTCAATTTCGATTTTGAATCAATTATCTTAATAAAAAATTTTTACATCTCTATTAATTAAGCATCTAAGTATAATTATGTATAAAAACGGAAAAATTATTATTTTGAGGTTATCTCCTTAATTATTGATTAAATCAAAAAAAATTGTTGACAAAGTTTGTTTAGAATTGTTTCAGGAACAATTTTTGTTAACACAATTTTTTTCTAACTTGAAATTTTAATTTCCCACTGAACAGTATGCTACAAAAATTAATATTTTTGAGGTTATATCCTTATTGTTGATTTAATCAAAAAATTTTGTTAACAAAATTTGTTTAGAATTACTTCAGGAACAGTGTTTGTTAATACAATTTTTTGCTAACTTGAAATTTTAATTTCCAATAAACTATTATTATTATTATTGTAATCCCTAAGAATTGTATACATTACCTAGGTAAAGTATTTTAAGTCTTCCCAAGTATTTTATACATTAACTAAACATTGTATAGAGTACCTAAATTATACAGATTAACGATAACATATATAAAGAGTTTAAATAAATGCGCCTAAAGGGTAAGCAACTTATTAAGCAAGAACGAAACATCTCATACTGAAGTTGCTTAGTAGTTCTATAAATGAAGTATTGAGCATTATCACTCCTCTCATTAACTAATTACAAAAATAATTGTTTGTAATTAATCTATTTATTCCTAGATGGCATCACAATAAAAATTAGTCGTAAAAAGATTATTTTCTTATCGTGTACACGTATGAAAGGAAAGCTTAAAAAATGTTATTATGATGTTTATGTTTTTCAAGCGTACGAAAATTACTGAAATAATGATTAATTTCAAAAGGAATCTTCCATTGTAATGAAGTTAGCCGCTCACAAAGCGTTATTAAACGCATTAATCGTTATATTTATGCGAATTGTGCGGGAATGAATTATATAATTAATCAAGTAAAGTATTAAAAACGTTTGTTTGAATTTAAGAAATTTATTTATTTATAATAATAGGAGAATTTTACAAACTGGCAACATAGCGAAGTGATTATATGTTCGCGGCTAAATTCAGTGTGGTACTTGTTGCGGTTATGGGTTATGTGTTTACTTACAAAATGGCATAAATTCGGAGAAAGTGCAAGACGATGAATAATTAAATTGTCGTTGAATCTGATTAATTAATTAATTTTATTTATTATGGCATCATCGTTGTGTAAATCTGCCGTTGTAAGTAGAAAACTAATAAACCACCTAATTCCGGACAGATAAGTCACTTTTGAATGTCAATGGCGATCCTGTCGAGTTCTCCCAGTTAAATTTTAGATTATCAGCCACTAATAAACCCTTAATTATGTCCATTCTAAAATCTTCGGTAATTTTTCTTAACCAAAACTGTACCAAAAAAAAATTTCTTAATTCATTTTACAGCTTAAAGTGTATCTGGAGGTAATTGACGATGTTATTAATGGAGTTAGAGATTTATTTCTTGAGGAAGGCGTCGACGAACAAGTCCTCCAAGAATTAAGAGGAATCTGGGAGAACAAACTGCGTTCTACAAAAGCTGTCGATAACCAAAGTGAAATAGATAAGCAAAGTGCAAAAAAACTTAATGATGTTGTGTTAGCCAACGGCTTCCAAAAACCACAACCACAGCAAGTGAAACAAGTTGTCGGTCAAGTTCCTCCCAATAATCATGTCCAAACGGCAGCTGTACCTCAAATCCATGATAAACAAATGGTTCCCATTCAAGTCACTTTACCTGCACAACCCGGTGGTGAAAATGCAGCCAGAGTTTTTACTATTCAAGTACCGGCTAATGCCCTTCAAGGGAATCAACTATCAAAAGTTCTTACAGGTACATAACAAATTTATTATTATTATTATTTCCCCCTCCACTCGTTCTCAGAAAATCTTGATTAAAAGAACAGCATACTGTTCAGTGGGAATAATTGTGCAATAATTGTTGAGATAATTAATTTTGATAGCATACTATTCAGAGGGAAATTAAAATTTCAAGTTAGCAAAAAATTGTATTAACAAACACTGTTCCTGAAGTAATTCTAAACAAATATTGTTAATAAAATTTTTTGATTTGATCAATAATTAAGAACATAATCTCAAAAAAATTTGTATATACAGGGTGATTCACATAAGAACCGACACAGAGCAGGGCCATGTAGAGGACAATAAATTAAGATGATTTAAAGTAACTTACCTCTATACTAAGTTGTACACCTGAGGAGTTATAGGCCTTCAAAGTTGGCTCTTAAATTTTTAAAAAGTTCAATATCTTCGTAGTAAATTAAGCTAGAAAAATCAAATTTGGTATACGTTATGAGTGTACCAAGGGTATTAATTGGTAGCAAATTGAACTCAATTGAGGCATTTCATAGGTTTTTTTTAACCTTTTCACGGATTTAATACATTACTACTTCATTTCATGTGAAATTTAATTCTAAAACTTTTCTTACTCTTATTATTTTTTAAAAAACTTAAATAACTAAAGACACTTATTTCGTAATGTTACTTAAAATAAGCGAAAATTCAGTAGCCGGCTATGAAATTGTACGTCAAACTTGACAAATAGGTCATAAAATTATTTGACAACAAGGTTTTATAACCTATTTGTCAAGTTTGACGTACAATTTCACAGCCGACTACTGAATTTTCGACGATTTTAAGTAGCATTAACGAAATAAGTGTTTTTAGTTATTTGAGTTTTTTATGAAAACGACAATGTTTTTTAAAAAATAATAATAGTAAAAAAAGTTTTAGAATTAAATTCCACATGAAATGAGGCAATAATGTATTAAATCCACCAAAAGGTTAAAAAAATCTGTCAAATTGTAGGGTACCATCACCCTTAATAAACCGTTTGAAATGCCTCAATTGGTCTCAATTTGTTACCAATTAATACCTTCGGTACACTCATAACGTATACCAAATTTGGTTTTTCTAGCTTAACGTATTACGAAGATATTCAATGTTTTAAAAATTTAAGACCCAACTTTGAAAGCCTATAACTCCTCAGGGGTACAACTTAGTATAGAGATAAGTTGCGTTAAATCATCTTAATTTATTGTCCTCTAAATGTCCATGCTCTGTGTCGGTTCTTATGTGAATCACCCTGTATATATTTTTATATATTTTTTATGGAGAAAATCGTTTTAGAATTTAATTTAGAACAACTTTTGTATGAAATTGTCTGCCGAGAACAAGTGGAGGGGGGAAATCGTATCGTTTTGTTACAAAAGTTCCGTGCCCTATTAATTACACAGTGCAACAGCCATTCTGGGGGGTGAAAAATTTTATGTCAATAAGGTCAATATAGTAAAACCTCCTTTTATATTTCTTTCATTATCTTGATGTTTGTTTGCTTAGTTTTTCAGTTATAACTCAAGAATCATTGATGATTTCTCATTTCATTCTTCAGCAAAGACTAAGGCTTAAATAAATAATTTTTATTAATATATCCATGTAAAAAATTAAGTTGGACTAATTGAAAAAAAAAATCTCTGAAAAATAACATCTTTACTTGAGAGTTCTACAAATTGTAACTATAAAAGAGTATTCTAATATAAGTATATAAATAATATAATAATATAGTGGTACTATATTAGAGAGAGAGAGATAAAAATAATAACTATAACAAATACGAATAAATAAAAAAATGCATATACAGGTGTTTTTTAAAAAAATACATTTTTTGGCGATATTTGCTTGTTTGTATTGTTTTTTGTTTCGTTGCTATATATATTATTTTTGCATACTTTGATAGAGGATAAGTCTCTTTATGCGATGAAAATATCAAATCGTATGGTTGTATAAGAAAAAAATCGAGAAAAAATGCGTTTTTTAAAAGTCTTAATCAGCTAATTACAATCAAAGTAGGCACCGAAAACCCCCCGTTTTCGCCCTATTTCGCAAAAACTGAAAATTTATTATTATTTATTAATTAAATAAAAATTAAAAATTACTATGTTTAAGTTATATTTAAATTACTATAAATAAAGCATTTAAATACATATTTTATTGAATTTAGGTAAAGATAAGAAAAATAGTGTTTACGCAAATATAATTTTTGATACCTTTTTGATCTTTCCAAAGTAATGCTTAAAAAAAGTTCACTATGTACATATAATATTATAACTTTTGTAATAAGTGTGGAAAAGTTTAAGAACATTTAATAAATTTATAATAAATTTAAAAAAGGGGGTATATTTGCGACTTTGAAGGTTTTACTATATTGGCCAAGTACTTTCATCCTGACTTGGAATTTCTCACCCCCCAGACAATGACCCCGAAAATGTTCCACAGTGTTATTTATTAAAAATTATAATTAATTTAGGTCCAGTTATGTTAGCAACAATGAGCCTCCCACAAGCAATAGCATCCTCACTACTCCAACAGCACGTAAACGCGGCGTTTAGTACGCCACAAGGTCAACCTCAAGGTCAAATCCAAGCGCAGCAAACGGCAACGCAACAGCAGCAAGTGGTTAGACAAATAGCAAACAAACCTGTGATACAAAGTGACGGGCCTCAAGACTGTTCCGACGACGACGACGACGCTCACATGCAGCAGCCGGGTCCGTCAACATCCAGCGGACTGGTGTTTCAAATTGACGGCCCTATGGATACGTCCGATGATGACGAAGATGGATCCGATGACGATGACGCCTCCGAAGACGCCGACGACGACAAAGACGAGGACGAACAAGAAGTCGATGAGGGTGGACCCGAAGAAGAACCTCTTAATTCTGAAGATGATGTTACTGATGAGGATCCCACAGATCTTTTTGATACGGAAAACGTGGTTGTGTGCCAATATGACAAGGTTAGATGAGAAATAAAAAAATATTTCATTTATCTTAATCCATTTGCATCGTAATTTTATTAGGTCATTATTACCAAGTGGTCCATTTTACATAAAAATGAACCAAATGAAAGTTGTTCCTTGACCTTATTTGTGCTTGCAACAAATCATATTTAAAATTCATCCTGACCTTGTTCGTTTTTGAGATATTTTCAAAAAACTGAAATTTTCTGATTTTAATTTTTTTTAATAAATCGATAACGCCTAATGCAACTGCTTTTAAACTTTTACGTTATTAAGACACTTTTTTGAGACTAGCTTTTTGGTCTGAACAGAAACTATCGATATTCATCTGTTTCCAAGTTATTAGCGCCGACTTTTGTTTTTCTTATGGCGGCCATATTGGATTTTTGATTAGTTAAATAGTCCCATGCTTAATAAATCTTTAGTTATACCAGAGATATGGACAAAAAATTATTTTTCGTTAACACGAAATTACTATCCGTGCAAAAAGTCAAGGCCCCTCACTTTAGAGATCGATATTTTCGTAACCGCTCGATGGAAGAAATTGCGGTTAAGTTTATTGCAATCAGTGAACATTTCTGCGTATTACATGTTAATTTGAAAATTTTCGGGTCCGCGGTTTTTCTTTTATCACGAGTTAAGTGAAAAAAGTACCCGATTTTTGAGAACTTTGTTTACTTTGCGATTTTTTTTCTCCAAAACTATTTGACGAAAAAATTTGAAATTTGAACTGGTGGTAAACCGATGTGTTCTTAATGTGGGGCATATTTTATTTTTTCGATATTCTATGTAGTTTCGCGGAAAATCGCGGTTTAGTACGATGAGGTTATTTCGAAAACGACCTGGCGGATTTCAACACGGTTTTTACCAAAACATGTCAAATAATATCGGTTGTCGAATTCCGTTATCAATTTTTCAAAATTAGGGCTCCCTAATTTTTTAGGAGCGATTTAATGCAATTACAAAATAAAGAGAAACAGAAATAAGCTATGCAGGGAGAGGAGGGGTCCGTCCAATCGGAACAGATGGTGCGTTCTAGACAGTACGTCGCGCCTTTATCTTACCTACATAAAGAAATAAGGCGCGAAACCACTCATTAAGAACACATCAAAAAAATTGTTTATCATTTTTAGTTAAAATATAAATGGATCAACTTTGTTTTTTTTTTAAAGGAACATCCTATATGTTATAAGATTTTTTGATAGAGCTAGAAAATACGAATCCAATGATACCTCGCCATCAAATATTGGTTAATTAGTTTTTATGATATTAATTAGTAAAAATTCGAGAAAATTGCAGCGTGCGCAACTTTAGATTTCTCACAGGTAAATAACGAGCGGTATAGATATCGGAACGCGGTCTTTTAACTGAAATATGGAATAATATAGAGGCTGTTCCATTAAAGAAAACACAACTTGGTTTCGTCATAACTTTTTGTATATTAAATTTGTCTTTATTGTAATAGAACACTAAAACTTTTGCATTTTAAGATTTGCTAGCTATCTTACTTTAGGAGATTTCCATACATATCAGCGACCCTGTATAATAATAATTATTACGAACTAAAAACATTCGAGATTAGCCTTGCATTTCTCAGGACGGCTCTTCTAGTTGTAATACTAGATCTAGTTAACCAGCTTTATGTACAGGTGTCCCACGTATAGTTATCCTTTAGCATTGCTTGTATTTTTTCTCTGATCGAGTTATAAAAAATTTTTTAGCGATATTATTAAGTAATTTTTTCTGAATGATGCAAATGGGTTAATATTCTTGAAAGTTTTGAGTAATTCGATACTTTTGAAATATCTTTTGACTCATAATGTTGAAATTTAATGAAAAATATCGAAAAAATTCTTCAATTAAAAATTTGTGTAATTAAATTTTTTTTATTTTATAGATAACGAGGAACCGTAATAAATGGAAGTTTCATTTGAAAGATGGTATTATGAATCTGAACGGTGAAGATTACTTGTTTCAGAGAGCTACTGGTGATGCGGAATGGTGAGGAAATGGATTGAATAATAATAACTTTAATTAATTTTAATAATAAGGCCACGCAGTCATTTTCCATACATTTGTTTTTATCTTTTTTCGGGAACGATAGGAACGGAAACAAAAAACTCAACTTTATTCCCTTTGATTTTTTATTTTGTTCGTTTATTATCTTGGGGCAGCGAGAAACGCGCATTGACAGAGAAATCTACGGTTTTAATTCAATAAATTTTGAGATTACTCCACAAAAAATCTTTTTTATTCTTTCATTTCTCAAAATTTATTGAATGTTGTATAAAAAAAAGTAGATTGATCTATTGTAGGGTTTATAAATATTATATATTAATGAACGATTAGTGTTATGAGTGAGCTTTGTTTATTATTCTTTATCTTAATTTTTTGTTAATTTAATAATCGCACGATTTTCCATGTCATTTTCTTTCCTTTTTTGTTATACTTATATATATTAATTTTTATGTACATATTAAACACTTATATAAATAATGCAATCAATAGTTACTTAAACAACAAACTGTTTCAACTTTGTTCTTATTAATTTTATTTTTATTCTTCTATAAGAAAAGAACTAATATAAATGAATTTACTTATAAAGTGTAAAAAGCGAGTAAATAATTGACCTTAATTAACGGCCTTATATCACTGAAATTAATTCATATTCCTCGCCTCTAAAAAATAAAGTACTTAGGCGGGCTTGGGGGATGCTAAAATACGTCTAAAATAACTGTAATCGGGAACAAATGAGATAACTTGTATGTGTTTTTGATCGCATGTCAGCATCTGTCAATGTGTTGTTACGTCGCGCGTTACATATTTTCCAATTAATTTTTGTGTTATTCTAGAAATAGGAAATTTGTATACAGTGTAATTATGTTTGCAGAATAAATTTATTCTTGAATAACAATAGATCATTTTTTATAATTGATTAGTGTCTGAACATTATCTTTCAAAAACCAGCTTGGAGGAGGTAAAGCAGCATAGACTAAAATGTAATAACACAACAGAGCTCCTTAAGTATGGAGCTGATGGAGAACTTGAACGAGTACCAAGATAAGTTTAGATGTAGCAGATTTTTTTGATACTATGAATCGAGAAATGCTATATGGAGCCATGCAATTCATTTTAAATTAGTACAATTAGTTAAAAATGTCAAAAATGGACTCTTTTAGAAGGTTTCTTATTGAATATCTGTCAATTTTCAAATTGTTGATCGAAGTGATTTTTCAAAACGGCTCAAAAAATTAAAAATGTTCATACTCATATTCCAAGAACTGGATTTTATACGAATTTTTAAAACTTAATGGAGATTCTGAATATAAATTAAATTAAAAATAAGTCAAATAAAAGAATTAGGGAGAAATTGGATCTTGCACAAAATTAAATACACAAAATTTAATACAAAAAGTTAAGTATTTTTATTATCAAGTATGAAAAACTACTATTTATAATGAAATATGACCTAGCTACAAATATTTTTACTTCATCACAAAAATATATTAAAATTGTCGTACAACGTTGATTGTAAATTGAGATATCAAAATATATATCCTAGTTTAAATGTTAATATCACAAAAATTTGTATTTTTATTAACATATTTATACAAATGCTAAATGCGAAAAATACTGAAATTAAATATATATACAACTTATTGCTGACAAAAATTAAATATGAACAATTTACACTTATTTTTTTCTAGCTTAAATAGTTATATCACAAAATGTTTCGTTAACCACAAAAAAAATGAAATTATTGTACAACGCTGTTCACTACAATCTATGAGATATAAATAAGTACACTTTTTTTAAATATTAATATCACAAATTTTCTTTTAATGCTTTGTAAGTCACGAAAAATGTGTTAAAATTATGTAAATTCAAATAAAATAAAAATATTAAAGTTAAATGTAAATAATAAAAAACGTTTAAATCGTTCAAAATAAAAAGCAACTTTGCTACAATTTAAGAAATAAAATATAAATTCCCTTTTAAATATTAATAGGGTTAAAGAACGTTTTAAACATTAAAATAAAATTCTAAATCATTAACCTATGCAACGCGTTGCAATAAAGTTTGGAAAAAGTTTCGAGTGTAAGGCCTCGTGTATATAAACACCTACAAAAAAAATTACAAATAAAAACAAAAATAAAAATATACAGGATGTTTCATAATATATGCACAGGACTTCAACACAGGAGTACTTTCAGGATGAAGAATTGAGCAATTAAATTTTTAATTGGTATTAAACCGAAAACTCCTTTCTTTTGAATATCTTTTTGACTTGTACTAATCTGTTTAGCTAGCGGCATGTCGGATCTCACAACAGCGCTTGACCTTGAGTGTGTATTTCCCGTGAACATGACTGTACCACACAAAGTGTGCCATGTAAAATTGTTTTAATAAATGATTTGTTATATAATTTACAAAAAAAAACAAAAAACAGATTGATAAATAGATAATCCAAGAACAATATATAAAATGTGGTGGAATCAAATTAATTTTTAAAAATTCAATAAATATTGTACATGATCTGGTGCATCATTGTACTATAGGGCGATTAGGATGTCTTTCTGCCATTCCGTAAAGTTAATGCATTTCGCATATTTCAGCGTTTGTGTAATTCATTTTTAATTTTATAATACAAGTTTACTTTTTGCAGGTACAAACTAATTGTTATTTTGACAGGGGGTAGCTTTTGTCATAAAATTTAAAGCCTACTTGTTAAAAATAATCTTTTTCTCGCACAAAACTTAGCTTATTATGAGTAGTACGATAAACGGTTCCGGAGATATTCGCAAAAAACGATTTTTTTAATTAAATTTCAACACCCTGTATCTCGAAAATGGTGTATTTTTGAGGGTAAATTAATAGAAACTTTTTTTTCAAATTTTTGGATAAGCTGAAGTCCTGCGCATATATTATGAAACATCCCCTGTATAAATTAAAGTTATTACTAACCTTTCGGCAAAAATAATCAACATCACACCTTAATTGAGTTTTAAGGTAAGTCGCATTATAAGATGGATATTGTTTGTTGATTTGTGAATAAAGCAAATTGATGTGTGTTTTATACCTATATAAAAAAAAATAATTAAACCTCGATTAAATTTAAAATTATTTTATCTACGACTGCTTGGATAAGTCAACATTACCACACTCATTTGATTTCATTATTGTTCTAGATTGTTCTACATTGTTCCAAAGCGGCAAATAAAAAAAATAAAAACATATATACATATATATTTATATACAGGCTGGCCCATTTAACATGAGAAAAGCGATTATCTCGAAAACGGTTCATTTTACATAAAAATGAATCAAATAAAAGTTGTTCTATGCGAAGGGGGAAACCATATGACGATAACATTTTTTGACTTTGGCCTTATTTTCAAGGTTATATGAAGGTCACGACCAATTTTTTAAATGGTACCCTATATATTTTATTGTAAAATCTGCATCTGTGGATAAAAGTGAAGTAATTAAAAAAAAATAAATAAAAATCTTTTCAAAATAATTGAAACTTCTTCAGAAACAATTAACTAACGTTTATAATCTAACAAGAATAAATAAGATTTATGAATTTTTAAACATTTTCGCACCCGCTTCGATACATTGTCTTTATTATACATATTATTATACATTGACTCGTCGGAAATACCTTTGGAAAGAGGTCTAAAAGGTTCCGACATTGCTCCGTCTTTGTCAATTTGATAATAGAATAACGCATAAAAGACAAGAGTTCGTACATTAAGGCAAAGTGTTTAAACTAAGCCATTAAATCATGGCTACTCTAAGTGTGGCAGAAAAAGTCGAAATGATTTTTATTTATGGAGAAAGTGGCAGAAAAGTAGCTGATAGTATAGTTTTGTATCGGGAACGTTTTCCTGATCGAAATACGCCTTCGAGTAGTACCTTTTATAGAGTTGAGAATGATTTCATTAACACTGGAAATGTCATATTTATATCAATAAAAAGCAGAAATAAAACAAAATAAATGAATGGCAGAAAAAAGGTTCTACCACCCAACCTCTCTCTGAATGAAGTGTCACTTCTAGTTTTTTTTTAGAATTAATTCGGTTTTCGCAGCATTCAAACGTAAAGAATGTTTACGGCACAAAATTCTTAACTGTTCAAGGTCATCACTCAACCTATCACAGGCAGTGTCTACCTTGTGGGGAAAAAACGAAATGTATAGCTGCGTGTCATCAGCATAAAAGTGACAATTAGAGTGAGACAAAAAGTTTATGAAAGAAGACATATAAATAGAGTATAGAAGGGGTCCCGGAAGCAACTTCCGAAAAAGTAGATCTAACTCCATCCACCTCAACACATTGCACCCGATCACGGAGATAGCTAAGCATGAAAGTCGAAGTTGAAGGACTTAAACCAATGTGTTGCAAAATCGCAAACATTATTGAATGATTCAGAGTATCGAAGGCCTTCAATCAGATGCCCGCAACACATCGTCGACTATGCTGAGCAGTGCTGTCGCACATCCATGATTTTTCCTAAAACCCGATTGTACGCTGGGCAGAATATTGCAAATATTTACATATTCCTTCAGTTACGCTTCAATAATTCTTTCAGCCAACTTTCCCAAAACAGGCAGAATACTTATTGGTGACCAAATGGCACTGGTAATGGCTTAACCAAAGATCGTTTCCAACATGCAGGCAAGACACTTTCTGCAAGATAAGCATTTATTGAATGAGTAAGATATGGTACAATATGCGGGGAGCACAATTGAACAAATGAAATGTTTAGACCATCAACGTTTTTTCGAAGAGATGAAACACATAGTCTTCACTAACTTCACGGAACTTGAATGAATTGTTATTAATTGGATTGGAAATGTAAAAGTCATACAACTCCCAACTCATTGGCATTGCAGGAATAGAGATTACAAAAAAATCATTAATTTGTTGCGGATCTTTTAAACAATCGGGAATTTTTCGCTTTGGAGCTACATTTACATGCCTTAAAAAGTTCCATATTTCTCAACCATGATAAGCACATTTCCCAAGAGTATACAGTGGTACCTCGATATACGAGTGCTGCACACGACCCCAACATGCGCGGCGCACAATTTCTCCCACCTTTGTACATTTACAAAACATTATCACATTTATTTTTATAACCATGGGTCCGAAGAAGAAGATGATGTCTATTGAATTAAGGCGTGAAATCATAGAAAAACATGAGCAAGGTGTGCGAGGATGTACGGGCGTAGCACATCAATGATATGTACTGTGCTTAAACAGAAGGAGTTGATAAAGGGTATAACGCCAGCTAAGGGCGTTACAATAATTTCTAAGCTCCGGACATCTCTCCATGAAAAGATGGAGAAACTACTGATGGTGTGGGTGACAGAGAAGCAGCTTCAAGGAGGAACCTTAACTCAAAGCATTATATGTGAGGAATCGAAAGAGTCGTTTAAAGCCAGTCGGGGCTGGTTTGACAACTTTAGGAAAAGGACTGTCATTCACTCCGTCGTCAAGCATGGTGAGGCAGCAACTTCGGATGTGAAGGCAGCTGTGGTTTATATCAAAACGCTTTCCGAACTGATAGAAGCCAAAGAATACATCCCCCAGCAAAGTCTTCAACTGTGACGAGACATGGCTTTTTTGAAAAAGGATGTCGAATAGGACTTACACAACGGCAGAGGAGAAGACGATGCCAGGTCACAAATCCATGAAGGATAGATTAACTCTAGCACTTTGCGCCAATGCGAGTGGGGACTACAAAATTAAGCCGCTGCTAGTATACTATTCGGAAAATCAAGAATCAAGTTATATGGGGGTCACCAGGAAATTCTTTGTGAAGTGGATAAACCTGGTTCCATCTACAGGAAAACAACCTACCCATGCTCCAGCTCACCCACCAAATTTCGAAGATGATTTACTCGAAGA